ACCGATTGCTTGATATCGGAGCGGGTAGTGATTTGATATTTGCGAACGAAGTGTTAATTGGCTCGAGGCAATCTCATTTCAATGAATATCAAATGATCACTACTTCATTATGGACGTGTGAAATGATTGAATGATACACAATTCACTTGGTTTATTCGTATGTTTTATGATCCGTAATAGTTTATCGCAATGAGTCGAATTCGTTGCTTATTTTAATTAATTTTTATTCACACTCAACATTCCGCTTCAGTCTAAAATATTAATCTCACATCACCACGATATATTGTATGCAGCCAATCTTTCCATTCTCTTGCACTCGTCGTCACTAATTGAAGTCTAATTTTTTGTGAAGTTGAATGCTGCCAACAAAATTCATTAAACGTCCGTCGTTGCTTCACTCATATCGCTTTTCTTCGGTTTTTTTCCGCAGTTTTTTTTTGTTCTCTCGCTATCTTTCGTCCGTTATGAAATCGTTCTCATTTTAGTCTTGTCTGTAACGATCGCTCTTATCGTCGTCATTTTTTGTGATGTTTTTGAGGATTGTTTATAGATTATACACATTTCGTCACTGTTAAAAAATTCTTTTGATAAAAATATCATCCATTCATAAAAATGACTAAATGAAGTGAGAGAGTACGTCGGCAGAACGTTGAGAGTAGAGATAGAAATGCGTATCTGTTCCATACAAATATTTTTCAACATTCTCAAAACTTTTTTCAATTCCCTACGTCTTTTCATCTTTTTATTTCCTTTTCCCTTCATCTCTTACTCTGTCTTCGGGCAGGTTTATTATTTTGCGCTCAAAAACATTTTCAACAACTGTTCGTGACGTTCTATGATCTGATTATTAAATTCGATTGTGAAATATCAATGCGAATGTAAATAATTTTTCAGTTGCAATCCCGTAATCTTATTTTGTATAATATATTTTGAGGTTTTTGCCGTATAGTTGCCATTTTAATCAATGATGAGATGTATTATGCATTTATTTTGGAAATGAAGAAATTATTCAGTCGTCATAATATTGTTTCGAAAAAAAGCACGGCAAGGAGGCAGTATATTGTTAAAGTAGCTGGAGCAAAAAAATATTTGTTTATGAGAGCGAAAAATCTTCAAGTGAGTGGGTTGTTGTAGTGATGTAATGTAGTTATAGTGCAGTAGGCAGAGTGGGTTATTGAACTGAATAATGTTTTAATGCCCTGAGAGGTATTATTCGCATTTGGCGTGGTCGAATTCATTAGATGAGGCGATTGAATGTGAAGAAGGAAATAACATGGAAATACCAAACTTTCGTTTATTATAACAAACATGAGATTTTGTGTGACTGTGAAATAATTTATTGAAATTGAATTGAAATGGTCGAAGCAGTGCAGTGCAGTTAGTGAATCGATGTGCAGTTGCACACAGTGAAGTTGTTAGCAACGAGCAGTTAATTCGATTTGAATGAATAGCAAAGGATTACTTGTCTCTCTTCTTTGTAGGATCCGATGCGTGTTGATTATTGCTCTTGACTGCTCGTACGTTATCCTTGGATCCCTCATGCCTCTAGCTTCATCGTTCTTTGCTCCATATTGTCAGTTCCTCAGTGAAACTCTCCTCTCCTCATCTGCCGCTTATCTCTTCTCCTTATCACTATCAATTTCGTTTTTTTTGGTTGAACAAGCGAGTGAACTGAATGTAATTAGCTAGCGTTTATTCACTTCATTCACTGCATTGATTTCTTATCATTTACTGAGTTAAGGGAGGAGGGGTGAGTGCAGGGTGTGTGGATTATTGGATACATGTGAATTGCGTTAGTGCAACCGAATGTTCTGTTCGGCAAACTAACTTTGAAACGATCCTCTCCAAGGGAATGTCTACTTCAAAACTGGGCTGTAAAACGAAACGTGACCAAATTGTCGTTTCGGGAACAGGTTATTCGTGATGGAGTAATTGTAGAGGACGAATTGGAAACGATTGGTAAAAACGGGTAGAAGAGTATGAAGAAGTAAGTGGAACAGAAAAAATGTGACATTGAAAGATGGGGAAAAACGGCTTGGGTAATTAAATTAGTAAGAAGGAGTCTTAATATTGGTAATATGCGAATTGTAAGATGAATATCAATGAGTGGCATAATGAAAGCAGTCGATTTTTCGATTGTAGTAGTGAATGCGGGATTCATTACTCAATTTTCGATAGTGAATGCGTGACATCGATCGAATAATTGTTCCGATTTTAAAGGGTGTGCAGTTACAGAATCGAATGCCGAATCTTTGCGTTCTTTCGAAAAAGACATTCGAATTTTAATGATTACATTCATCCTCCGCAAAGATTTCCCGTTTCTATCCGTCATTCCATCTTCACTGTTGCAGTCAAATGCTAATCATTTTACATGCGACAAAATACTCAACGCGATCAGGCATTTTACATCCTTACAAAAAGTTTATCTGTCATTTAGTCACAAAATTGAATGCCAGTTTTTTCATGTGGGAAGAGGAGGATGTAATTGTGATCAGTTTTCCGAACTGCGGACTTCAAGTTTAGTTAACCACTCAATTGATCATCAGGGGGAAGGNAGGGGGGGGGGGTTAAATATTTGTGCGTTGTTTCATCGGGTTTATGCATTCGTCCTCCATAATGCACTTCTTTGTTTCGTTAAATCGATCGTTCACCGAAGGCAGTTGTCACTCTGCACCATATCTCTCACATTACTCATCATCACTCAACTTGTCGTTGTAATTCTTTATCGTTCCAACAAAAAAATGCGTATCGAATATGATTTCGTATCCAATAGGGATCAACAACTTCTATCGTCAAATACTGATCAATCTAGAGAGAAATATGAAAATGACAAAATGAAAAAAAAAACGACGATTGGATAGAATTATGTTATAGATTTGCGCATCACGAACAATTTTTTATTCGATTGTCTTCTTCTCGCTGAACTCCAAAATGTTGACGTTTATGATTGTGCATATGAATATGAATGATTCATTTCCTCGTTTCGTTGGGTGACGAGAGGAAAATGAGTGTTATTGGAGAGGACGTGGATGATGTGATTATGGAATGTTTATGGCAAATGCGTAGAATGTTTTGGTTGCGTGTTTTCAAAAGATTGCCAACAGCATCCTACATGTATGTGTGCGTTAAAGTTATTAATATCCTTTATCAAACAACCTACATCATTAATTCTGAATCGTCGTCGATCCTTTCATACACACATAAGTAAGTGTCATACATCATATTGTCACTGGCTGTCTCGTGTGAAGCATTCAGAAACCGTCGTCTTTTTGTGTTATTTTGCCTGATGTGACAGATTGTATTCGTATTATTC